TTTTTTTTTTTTTTTTTTTTTTTTTTTGGTACCGGGGATTGAACTCAGGTCCCTGCGCCTGCAAGGCAGGCGGTGGAACCACTCAGCTAAATCCACGGCCCTAAAAATTAATGTTTAAGGCTGGTGTTTTTGTGCTACTTTAAATATTTCAGAATGCCTAACAACTATTTGGTTTGAGTTATGGCTAGATCTCTAAATCCTGACTATGATTAAGATTTATCTTTACTATTCTCCTATACACACTGTTATAAAATACTGTAATATTTCATTAAACAATAAATGTGATAACAGGATGTTTTGATTCAAGAAGTATAAATAATGGGCCAGGGACTTGGCTCAATGATTCCCCTGCCTGCCTCACAAGCGAAAGGGCCAGAGTTCAATCCCCAGTAACAAAAATAAATAAACAAACAAAAGCAGCAGTATAAATAACATCTTTAGAGTATAATACTATTGTCTATTTTTATACCTTGATAGATATTATCTCATTTGGTCAATAACTACCCTAAAAAGGCATAGAAGAGGTATAGGTCCAGCATCTAATTTTTCAGAAAACTCAATTGAAATGCTCCAAAATCTTACACTTTTTGCATGCTAACATGATACTCAAAAAGTTTGGGATTTCAAGTATTTTGGATTTTGAGTTTTTAGATGAACCCATACATAGTATTATGCAAAAATTATAAAATCTGAAACACTTGGTTCTAGGCCTTTCAGATAAGGGATCCTCAACTTGGATAGCATCTCACTCCGTACTCAGAGTACAGAAATGTAAAGTGGTGACCCAATGTAAAGCCTCAGTGAGAAGAAAACAATTAGGACTGGTGTGGGGTACTCCCTCTAATCCTAGCACTGAGGTCTGAGGCAGGAGAACAGTAATAGCAATGAGCCCAGTCTTGGCTTGAAATAATTACAACTGAAGTTCATTAAAAATTAATAAAGAAAAGAAAAAAAGGAAGAACCAGGTCTTCTGACTCTTCTTCCACATTATACTGAAGTGCTAGGAGACACAACTTTTTCATTTACTCGGTGTGAATGAGAAATAACTGATGAAAAACTGTAAATTAATGATACTGCAAGAACTGCACCCCATAATTTTCAAAGCATCTACCACAACATTCCAAATTAGTTCTTACCCGAACACAGTGAGTAACAAAGGAGTCAATACAGTCCTTAGCCTGGTGATTATTATATAGGCAGCACCTGTAAGACAGGAGCCTCATCATTAAAGTCAAACTGTCTGGCCTGGACAACAGCAACAAGGCTTACTTACTATAGATGCTATCAGAGGAGACGGTGGGAGAAGGAGAAAAACATTAAGTTGAAGAATGACAGCATCAGATGAAGAGATACTTCATACTACTATGCTGTTCACATCCACTGGAGTGGGTGATTAGTTTTACTCCTACAGTTCTACACTTGGGACAATTCGAGTTGGGTCTAGGAAGATCACACAAGCAAGGGAAAATGGAAATCCAAGGCCCCAGTCAGTCTTTCGGGACCTTCCTCCAGTGTCTGATAACCTCATGGTTGGTGCTCTCAGGAATAACTACCACGGAACCACTACAGAGGACCCTTTCGATAATGTACCCCCGTCTCCAGCCATTTGCTTTCCCATTACCCGTACACTCTTCTCAAACTGTATCTTCTGGCCTTACAACTGGTCTCCTTGCAGTGTTCCTCACTTAAGTCAACAGCATTTCTTTCTCCAGTGCTACAGATCAAAGCCATGACCTCATGGACACTACGCAAGTGCTCTACCATTACCTATGGTCACATCCCTTTTTAAAAATGTTTATTTTGAGGCAGGGTCTCTCCAGGTTTTCCAGGCTGGTCTCAAACTTTAGTACATGACCCTTCTGCCTCAGCCTCCCAAATAAGTGGGATTACAGGAACAAACCACTTCTTGACAATCCCTTCATGAGAGTTCCTAAAGAACTGCTTCTTAGCCCTAAGGGAGCGGTAGAGACTAGGTACAGTAGACAGGAAGCATGTGGTTGTTATTCTTTGATGTATCTGTGGAGATCACAGGATTTTTTAAAAAGCTGAAGAGACTTCCCCCTGATGCCTCAACAGGAGCTGATATTTGCTACTCAGAAGCACTTCCCAGAAGCTAGCAAGCTGGCAAGAGCTGCAAAGATAAACAGAGCTGCAATCATGCAATGGAAAATGAAGAGTACACCCCGCAAGCCAGAAGGAAGAAACAGCAGAAACCCTCCAACAAGGGGTTGGTGACATAAAAATGCTGGAAGAGTATTCGTATCTTTAACATCAAAGTACAAAATTATATAAGACTAAAATATACCACATTACTAAAAAGCCTTTCTAAATCTAAAAATAATTATTTTCAAACTTTAAACACTCAATAGATGAATGATGTTCGCTTTAAGCTTCAAGAAAAAGAATACCCTCACAACACAGAGATAAATGTTATGAGGCCCATAAGGGATCTAGAAGACCAAGAATACCAAATGTTCTAAAAAAGAGGAAAAAACCAAAACACATGAAGGTGAGGCAATCGTGGAATTAGTACTAAATGATATGAAGTGAAGAGCTGACACCTTATAGAGCCCCAAACTGGTCACGCACTTAACCACACAATAAATATTAAGCAGCAGACTTCCTGTGCAAGGCTCATCATAACTGGGTAAAATCAGAAGCAAGCAACAAAAACTTATCTAATATCTTTACCTGAAACTTAGGTATTTTAAAAAATGACCATTGAATTGGAAGGAAGAAAGGAAGGTAGGTAGATAGGTAGGTAGGCAGAGTTATAATAAACTTAGAAAGCAATATAAAGATCCCTTCCAACTGAAGTCTAAACATAAGGCTAAACTATTAAAATGAACATCCTTCAATATCTCAGTATTTTAAAAACTGTTTTAAAGAAAGATGTAAAAAGTAACAATAACAATAACCCTTACTCCAAAAAGTAAAATTCAAAGACTTTGATTTATGATCAAGCTTGCTACAGACACCAAATGTTGCTGTTCAGCTGTTTTAGAGTCTAGAAAGAAAATAAAACGAAATAACTGATGTAAATACTGGAAAATAAAAGTATCTCTTTGAGAAAGAGATTCCAATAATCGTAACAGCAATAACAGCAGTAAGAAAACACAAAAAAGGGCCAGAGATGTAGCTCAGTGGTGCCACACCTGCCTGGCAAGCACAAGGTCCTGAGGTGGATCCCCAGTAAGGGGGGCACTAAAGAAAAATTTCTAAAAACTACCCAGGAACACATTTACCAGGGAATATACACAATCTGTATGAACAAATGAAAGACAAACTAGCAGTTTGTCCTTTCATTACAGAATTTAACAGCATAAAAAATGAGAAGTCTTAAAATTATTATTTACTTCTAATGAGAACTTTAGCTTTTAAAAATATGCATAAAACTATCTTAACATTAATATAAAAGAGTAAGTAGCAAAATGGTACGGAAGACTGTGTCTCAATAAAACTTAGTAAGTCATACAATGTTTAAAATAGCATTGGAACTGAGGTAAATCCCCAAACAAGAAATTTTTAAGTAAAATAAAGGTATCATTTTAATCCAGTGGGAAAATGGTTTCTATTTCACATAAAGAACCATCTAGCATGAAATAAATTCAATTTCATTTACAAAAAAGAAAAAAAAAAAAAAGAAGGATTAAACTTTAGTGAAACCACAAAAATTTTTGTCAGATTTTAGTGGCAAAAGAGATAACCTATGGGAGGCTGGGGATTTAGCTCAGTGGTGCCGCCACCTGCTTTGCAAGGGCAAGGTCTCGAGTTCAATCCCTGGTAACAAAAAAACAAACAAAAAAAGATAACCTACAGGTAGGAAAGAATTATTTGCCTCAACAACAAAGAGACAAAAAATATCATATTAGAAAGAAAAACTTTAAACTGGGTATGGTACACTCATCTGTGATCCCAACACTCCAGGAAGCTGAAACAGGATGATAACAAGTTCAAGCTCAGGATGGCAATTTATCAAGTTCCTGCCTCAAAATAAGTAAAGGGAAATAAAAAGAGCTGGGGATGAATTCAGGCTAGGTGAAGGCCCTGAGTTCAATCCTTGGCACTGTAAAATAAGGTTTTGACTGCAGCAAAACACAGACTAAGGGAAAAATGCATCTGCAGTGTCTAAACAGGTTAACTAACACAAAGAATTAACTTTCTGTAACATACATGGATCTCTTACAAACTGGCAGAAAAAATAAATGGTTTAATAAAAAACAATGGGCAGGCCAGACATGGTGGCACTTGTTTATAACCTCGGCACTCAGGATTGCAAGTTCAAGCCCAGCCTGAACAATTTAGTAAGACTTTGCCTCAAAATAAAAAGGACCAGGATGTAGCTCAGTGTGAAAGCCCTGGGCTCCATCTCCAGTACTGCCCCCAAAAAGGAAAACTAACTCAATGGTCAAAAGATATAAATAAGCAACTCACAGAAAAACAATTACAAGTGTCCAATAAATAACTGTATTTAAGTGTTCAAATTAAAATGAGTTATCACTGCCCTCAAAACATGGGAAAAATTAAAAGAATGGGTGATGGCTATGCTGGACACAGATGCATGTAAAATGTACTACTCTTACACACTACTTGTAGACACAAACTGTTACGTTCATTTTAGAATTCAATCTAATATTATCAGTTAAAAGTACACAGGCCCCTTTTCCAGTAATCCCACTCTTTAAAATATATTTGAGGGCCGTGGATTTAGCTCAGTGGTTCCGGCGCCTGTCTTGGAAGCGTTAAGGTCCCGAGTTCAATCCCCAGTACACCCAAAAAAATACATTTGTGTTATGAAATATTTGGCAGCCATTCGAAAAGTTATATCTCTAAAGGGTAATTCAGGACATAAAGCCTGTTATGTGTCTTTTAAGTAAAAAAGATAAAATTTTAATAAGTTTTTCGTTTGTTTTGTTTTAATACCAGGTGTGGTGGCACAAGTCTGTAATCCCAACACTCTGGGAATCTAAGGAGGATCCCAAGTTCAAAGCCCAGTGCAATTCAATGAGAGCATCTCAAAAACAGAAAGTAAAGGACTGAGGATGCAGCTCAGTGCAAAGACAGTGAACTTTCAAGCAGGACTATAGCATTTGTATAATCGGCTCGAACTAGGCACGGTGGTACACACCTGTAATCTGAGCACTGGGGAGGCTGAGGCAAGAGAGCTGCTGTGAGTTTAAGGCCAGCATGAACTACATAGTGGACCCTATCTCAAAAAAACAAAACAAGAAAAATGGCCTTTTTATAGTTACTAGTTACTCCCTTCTCTTTCCTACTTTCTATTAATCTGATCTCTGAACCTTTCTCATCTGTCCTCTTCTTTACATTCCCAGAATTTAATCCTTCACCATTTCTCACCTATATAAACAAATCAACCTACTTAATTTGCACTGTCACCCCTTCCCACTACCTGTTTCTTTCAATTAAAAAACAATCATGCCAACCCCCTAACACCGTAAGGAGTTCTCACGGACAACCAAATAAACACCAAACCACACTAGAGCATTCCAGATTCACCGGTCTCGCCCTAAACTGACCGCCCACCCCAACCCCGGATTCATTCACTCAAGAATTAGTCACTGTGCTTTCTGCTGCGGCATCCACCATGCGTGAGTCAGAGCACTCAGCTACTGTGATACAACAGCCAAAAGTAACCACCGAGGTTCATGAGCTTACACTCTAACCGGCGAGGGCTGGGGATTTAGCTCAGCGGTTTGGGTGCCTGCCTCGTAAGTGCAAGGTCCCAAGTTCGATCCCCGGTACTTCCCCCCACTTAAAAAAAAAAGTAAATATATTCTAATTGGATGAATGGGAAAAGAGGGAGAAGGAAAAAAAAATTACACACTATGTAAAACAAAGAAAAAAGAAAGGGAAAGTGAAAATAGCACTTTTCAAATAGGGTGGCCAGGGTAGTTCTCCGAAGCAACACTAAACACACACTACACTGGTGCTCTACCACCCAAGCTATATTCTCAGTTATTTAGGGACACTGGAAGGTGGTGGGGGTATCAGACATGGGATTTCTGGGGAAAACGCTCCCTGGCTTCCACCCTATGTAAAGACTCAGGGCAAGAGAGCAGGCCTGTTACATGCCCAGAACGGTACAGAGGACAGTGTGCCTGCTGCAAAGAAGAGGGGGAGAGCAGTCAGGGAGGAGGGCAGAGGGGCGGGGCGGGGACTACTGTGGATGAAATGGGGCTGTAAGCACCACTGCGACAGACTGTGCATGCCATCCTTCTCAGACTCTTATGACAACATGATTTTAGGGCAGTGACTCTACCAAATCAATGATTTGGGGCCAGCTCAGCGGGGATGCTCCTGCTTGGCAAGTGCAAGATCTTGAGTTCAATCCCCAGTACAAAAAAAAAAAAAAAAAAAAAAAAAAAAACCAACAAACCCCAAAAAAAAAAAAAAAAAAAAAAAAAAAAATCAATTATTTGCATTGTAAATTTTTATCTAGACTCAGAGAGAAAAGGTCTTATTCTTTATAATTACTCCCAAACTGCCCAACACAATGCTCTGCAAAGATCCAAAACAAATTACTGAATTCTGAATAACCTAGAATCAACATCATAAAAACCTTAATTGTAATCTAAACAATATGTGGCAGAGATGGATTAACATGACTGTTACTTTTAATATTGAGAATTTACTTCATCCTAAACAACTTTTACACTTTGGCTGTACAGAAGTGAGTGCAGAAGTCGGGCTTTCACAAGAACCACCCACACTAAAGAGTCTTCGTACTTACTTAGGGGAGAGCACCGGAGGGCTGACAAAGGACCGGAGGGCATCTTTGACCATATCTTGCATGAGATGAGTTCCAAAGACCTTTTTATTATCCACCAGGAAAGTGGTCTTAAAGCAAATGTTACATATAATATTGGTTATGTATATATTAGTAATACTGCCAGTAATGTCATTACTGAGGCATAATCATACCAGAGTACCTGTAAATACTACAGAATACAAAATTAAAACACAAAAACTGGTGGAAAATTTTTATAAATTAATCCACATGGTATTAATCCTTACTTAAGGTGAACTGCAATATAAGGAAATAAAAAATAGGCAGAAATAAAACTCCCAAGTTAAGAGGAGATGCAAAACTGAAGTCAATGAATGCATTAAATATGTCAAATGTGTTAACATGTAAACAAAGCTTTCATAAATTATGAAATATCAAATGGTGGTATATAGCTACTTCATAATAGTTTTGTTTTGTGTGAAGTTTTGGGGATCAAACCCTCGGGCCTTCTGCATGCTAGCACTGCTTTGTAATATAACTTTCTGCAAATCGAAAAAAATATATTTCAAAGTTTGTATTTAATGATAATTTGCATTTAATTTCCTCCCCTTAACAACTGCAGAGTATTTCAGTATTAATATACAGACTTCACTTGATCTCCTAATGCTGTTTCTATGTTTACATATAGTGAAATACATGGTTTCTGTTGTACAGTTCTTAGACTATCACAAATGAATTGTTTCCCTAGCACATCAAGACAGAACTGTATCATGACCCAAACATCCCTTCTTGGAAGGCTTGTGAAGTCAACACTTTGCCCCATCCAAAATCTCAGGAAACCACTGATGACTTCACCAACTCTATCATTTTGCCTTTTCCAAAATGTCTTTAAGACGAAACCACAGTTTCTGAACTTGGTTTCTCTGACCTTTTATAATGCCACTGAGACTGACCAGCGCTGTTGAGCATATCAATACTGTACTGCACTGCTTGCCATTTGAGCAGTATTCCACTCCCTATACCGTAATCACTCAGTACCTTGAGAACATCTGAGTTGTTTCGTATTTGGTGACTGTGAATAAACAGTTCTAAACATCTGTGCAAAGGTTCTGGACAATGTGAGATCTCTTTCTCTTAGGTAAACAACTAAGAGTGTGAGCTGCATGTTTAATTTTATAAGAATCTGTCAAATTGTTTTTCAAAGTGGCAAAACCACATTCACACATCAGACAGGTTTTTTTAAAAAAAAGATATTTAAAAAGCTGAATATTTGTGCTTGAATTTTTATTTCACTAATAGCACACTGAGTATCTTTCCATACTTAATTTCAAATCTTTTGCCCATTTTAAAAATTAAGATTTTAGAGCCGGGGATTTAGCTGAGTGGTGCCCATGCCTCCTGCCTCACAGGCACTACCGTCCTGAGTTTGATCCCCAGTACCAAAGAACAAAAACAAAAAAGTTTCTTAAAAAATTCTTTGTGTTTTAGATGCAATACTTTGTCAGACAATTTGTAAATATTTTCTCCTACTCTGTGTAGCATCTTTTCCTTAACAGTGCTTTTCACAAAGAGAAGTTTTTATCATTTTATCATTTCCTTATATGGATTAAACATCTGGCATCATATAAAAGAACTCTGGCCTATGCAAGTTTACAAGTAATTCTTCTTTAAAGTGTCATGTCTGTGCTTTACAGCTGGGTGTGGTGGCACATCCCTGTAATCCAGGCGCTCAGGCTGAAGGAGAGCTGCTGCAAGCTAGAGGCCGGGCTGAGCTACACAGTGAGCTCAAGGCCAGCCTGAGCTTCATGGTAAGACCGTGCCTCAAAAGCACACACCAGGGCCAGGGGTTTAGCTCAGTGGCACCGCACCTGCCTCATAAGCACAAGGTTCTGAGTTCAATCCCGGCACCAAAACAACCACCCAAAACACACACACACGCACACACACAGTTTTGTGGTTTTACATTTTATAAACTTACGACACATTCTGAATCATTTTTTCATGTTCCTGTCCAAACTGTTCCTGCACTATTTGTTGAGAAGACTATCATTTCTCTTCTGAAGTACTCTTCTACCTTCGTAAAAAATTAACCATATTTTTGATCAAATACTTGACCACATTATTCAATAAGATGCTATATAAGTCTGTTTTTTAAAAAGATGTTCTCCTTGGTTCCAATGAACTGTGTCTGTCACTTTGCCAATATCAAATGTGTGACCGCAGTCTCAGTTCCTCCACATCATTTTAAAAATTGATTTTGCTAGTCTAGTTCTTTGCCTTTCCAAATAATTTTAGAATTCTTGACAGCTACAAAAAAACTTGTAATTTTGACTGAGACTGTTTTGAATTTACAGATCAATTTTGGGAAAATTAACATCTTAAAATTTTTAATCCGGGGCCGGGGTTCTGGCTTAGTGGTGCTGCCACCTGCGTCGCAAGTGCTAAAGGCCTGCGTTCAATCCCGGGTACCAAAAAAAAAAATTCAATCCTTGTAATCCATGGGTAACATTCCTCTCTATCTAAGAAGAGTCGACTTCTTCCACCAGTAACATTACAGCTTTGCAGCACATGGGCCCTACCTACAACTGGTTACATTCTAAGTATTTTGGTTTTATAATGTAAACACTGATCTCCCATTACTGTTTGCTCCTAGTATGTAGAAATGCAACTGTTTCTGAACACTGCCCTCATCGTATGATCTCGTTAAACTTACCCATCAGTTCTAGGAACCATTTTGTAGATTCCCTGGCATTACCTAGAAAAGTGTGTTAATTACAAATAGATGCTACCCCTTCACTCGGTCCCGCCTCACTGCACTGGCTAAGATTGCTAGTGTAGAACCAGAGTACAATGATGGCAGTGGCGGGATGACAGTGGGCTCCTGTTCTTCACACTTCTACTTTCTGGAAGGGACTGTGTAGAGCTGGCCTGGAAATTTTATCGTCAGAAGGGTTTGAACTGTGAATTCAATGTATTTCATGGCTATAGGATTATTCAAATTATTTCTTTTTGAGTTTTGGTAGTTTGTCTTCTTGATATTAATCATTTGTATATTTTCTTCTTATTCTGTCCAGTTAGTTTCATCAACCTTACCGACACTTTCTAACAACCAGATTTAAGTTGCACTGTTCTTCCCTCTACTAGGTTTTTATATTTTATTGGTTTCTGCACATTACTTTTGTGTTTTCCTTCGCTTTTTGCTCCTTTGTCTCATTTCTTAAAGTGGGAGCTTACATCACAATGTTATATCTTTTCTAATATAAACATTTAAGAATTGCTTTAGTTGTATCCCACAGATTTCAGTATTTTGTTTTCTTCATTTTATTCAGTTCAAAATTTTTTAAATTTCCCTCAGGACTTTTATATTTGATTAGAGATTTAGAAATCTCTTAAGTTTTAAGTATTTGGGGATTTTTTATTGATCACTACTTTAATTTTAAAGTTGTCAGAAAGTTATCTTTTAGGATTTCAACTGTTGTAAAATTACTAGGACTATTAGGCTCCAGCCCCTCCTCCCATCCCACTGGGGATCTGATTTGGGGCCTTGTGATTGCCAGGCAGGTGTGGTACCACTGAGCTACATTTCCAGCCCAATGGGAACTTGATGAATGTCTAACTCTCTGTGACTTAAAAATGTAACAGTAACTGCAGAACAGCCTTTAAAAGCATCTTTTAGCTCAGTGGCACCGTGCAAGTTCAAGTTTCAACCCCTGGTACCTGCCCCCAAAAGCATCTATCTTTTGTTTATCAGTAAATAACAGTTATCAATACACATATAATTTAATAATTAAAGCAGTACTTTGATACTAAGTAGAACTTACTTGTAACAGTGATCTTGAAAGAACACACGGTGACTGTTCACTAAATTCACAGAAAAAATCCTAACATACATAGAGAGAAAGCAATGTCATTAATAGATTAAGTAGCAAAAAAATTTACATCTAGTATAATTTTTGTAAATGATAGACTACTAGAGTTAAAACATTGGTAAAGTTAAAAGTTATTTCTGTAGAAATTGTATAATTATAACAAGATGAAAATAGATAACTTTAGAGCCTAAAAAAATTTTTTTTGAGACAGGGTCTCTCTATGTAGTTCAGGCTGCCTTGAACTCACTATGTAGCCCAGGCTGGACTCGAACTTGTGATGATCCTCCTGTCTCAGCCTCCCGAGTGCTGGGATTACAGGCATGTGCCACCATGCCCAGCCTAAAAATATTTTTAAAGAACTAATCAATAACAGAACTGTATGGATAGCAATATTAAATCTGTACACCATGAAAACATCAATAATAATTTACTAACTACTGGCAGAACTTTAGTTCCTACTTCAAAGAAATAAGTATTGAGTAACAAGTCAAGTGGATTCATATTACTGACTATTGTGGACTTTGGGGAAAGACGAAGGCATATAGGGCTTAAAATACACAGGAGAAAAAAAGACAATATACACCAAAATATTAAGACCTGTACGTTGTGGGACAGCAGTTATTTACCGCCTTACTTCTCTGCATTTGAGTTAAACATGTATGTATTTTAATATGTGGATTTGGAATTGCCAAGGATGGATATCCATGCTTAAGAACACCTATGCTACCGCTGTAGGCTGGGAGAGAACGGAAGACAGAGGACTTGCAACCTCTTCTGTTAAGTGCACTGCTGTGGTGGCTGTCCCTGAGACAAAGGCAGCATGGTCCCCGAGCCCCAAGCACAGCACTTACCAGGAACTCCGAGCCGCATCCCCCATGAGCCTCCCTGCCATCACAAGACTACTGCTGCACTGGGGGCAATGCCTCCTCACATGGGGAGGGCTGGACGAGCAGAGCACAGAACGAGGGGAAGGAGGGGAGACGCTTATCTAGGTCACAACTATTTCAGAAAGGTTTCCTTTTTCTCCAGGAAGTGCTATATCCACTGGGATGCATCTCATGACTCCTGACCTTCCTTCTATATCAAGCACCATTGTTATAATTTGGGTTTTCGTTTCTTTCTTTGAGACAAGGTCTCACTAGGTGGCCTTACACTCACCATCCTCCTGCCTCAGCCTTCCTAGTACTGGGACTGCAGGGCATGCCACCACACCTGGCATCTTTCCCTTTATAAAGGAGAAACAAGCCCATACCCCTCTACTATACTTGTTTGTCTGTTTGTTATACTAGTCATTAAACTCAAGATCTCACGTCTTTAATCCAGCTATTCGGGAGGCAGAGTCAGGAGGACTGTCATTTCGAGGTCAACCTGGCAAACTCAGTGAAACCTCGTCTCAAAGTAAAAAAAAATAAAAAGGGCTTTCAATGCAGCTCAGAAACAGAGGACTTGTGGCATGGTGTGAGATCCTGGGGAGACTGTGAATCTTAGATAATTATCATTATAGATTCCTACACATGGATTTAGTTGTAAATTATGACATATTTAATATAAACAAAATTCCAAATTTTGATAGCTACAAAAATTTGTATACATAATACTTCCTCCAATCAGGGGTATACTCAAATAGCAGTAACTGAACATAATTTAATAAAGGATTATCAATAACGTTTCTGTAGACTGCGCTAAGACAGCAGTTCACACCCTCTTTGATCTGCCCTGCAATGCTTGATAATGCATAAAACAAAAAGCCTTTTCCTTTTTCTCAAAACTCTGATGAACACATATTAAGAACAGTAATGACAAATCCATGGTATGAGAGTAAAAGGCCTCACCTTCAGCTTAGCCTTCAGATTTACAAGCCAAAGTACTTACAGATGTGAGAGACAAGCAGAAGCATATCTGAAACACGTGCAAAGGCTGCCATGACCCTCTCCCCACTTCTCAATCCTACACCAGCTCAAAACTAGAAAAATGTACACAATCATTCTTTAGTAAGAAATCCTACATCTTGCAGAAGAATGTTCAAAGATCACCAACAATAAGATCACTAACTTATCCTGACTGGAACTACTACGAATTCCTCAGAAGGCTACATGGTCTCCTCAGAGGGCTTCAGGTCCATGACTGGTGTATCACTGCAAAGTATTAAGCCTTCAGGGCTGTCAGTCCTGAGGCTTGTTTCAATTCAGGAAAAAATGCCATTGGTCAACTAAGAATAGAACTAGCAAAAAAACAATATAAACATAAGAATGTTACAGAGTATAACACCATTAAAATGGGCTGCTTGTACTTCGAAATCTTAGAATTAATTTGGTGAACGTAAATATACACCCAGGTAACCATTAGGACCAGGAAAGCAGATACAGAAGAAGGAAAATCTCCATTTTAATTCCTGCTATGGAATTAGAGTCATCTATTTTGGGTACAGATCCTCTGAACTTCAGCTTATCTGTGAAATGGTCTGCAAAATGAACTGGGTTTATGACTATCATCTATAATTTTACTTTAAATTTCTACAATTCCGACAGAATCTGGGCAAACTACTAAAAAGAAAGCAAGTAGAACAGAAGGTACAGAAAGACATTATCACTGAGAGTTTCACTAAGGAATGAGGATTTAAGTTGGGCTTTAATGACAAAAAAATTAATGGAAAAAAGATAAAGGCATTGTAAGAAAGAGCAGAAATAATGGCACAAATCTTTACTATCAACTGTATCCCATAAACTATTATCTAATATAGAATTATAAACTAGATCCGTGGAAGAAGGGAGGTACAGTAAAAACCTTCAACCAAGAAGGAAGGCTCCACAGAAGGCAGGCCACGTGCTATGGATTATATATCTAAGCCGCAAAGTAACAAAAGTCAAACACTTATCTACACAGTTATGCAACATATACTGGTATATTTAAGTACTAAGAAAACAGTACTATCTTACAAATTTTCTACTCTCCTACTAACCTTATATATGCCACTACACCCTTACCAACTGAAGAGCTCCATTCCCAAGTATTTTACTATTCTCAAAATAAACCTTGTTTTTCTATATTTTAACACCTAACATGGATAAACTGAAAGATATAGAAGCTTAAAAATGTACATGCTCTTGGGCCAGGGATGTAGCTCAGTGGTGCACACCTGACAAGCGCAAGGCCAAGTTCAATCCCCAGTACCAGAAAAAAATGCATGCTCCTTCAGTCCTACAACTTCACGCTCTGGGAATTTACCTTAAGAGGGAGGAAGCACAACTATAAAGATTTACATACAAAGGTGTTCATCGTTGTATTGTTTATAACAACGTAACACTGAAAAATGACCTAAGGAATGAAATGTAATATAAAGGAACTCAAAAACCTGTATTACAAGCTCAAAATGGAATACCATGTATTCATTAAAATAACAAAGAAATACATTATTTTCGACATAATAACATGTCTATCATATTGAGATTAGCAATTTTTTAAAAAACAAACTTGTCTGGCCGAGGGATTGAGCTCAGTAGCACAGTATCTGCCTGGCAAGAACAAGGTCCTGAATTCAATCCCTGGTACCAAAACAAACAAACAAAAAACAAACTATCAAATATCATGAGCCTATATTTATATCTAAAAAATAGTTATACATATAAACACACATATGAATGCATACAATACTTATAAAAAAGATTTAAAAGACAGAATTCACGATCCTAATTCCATTTCAAAAACTTGTATGAATGAGTTAAACTCTAACTTTATTTAATCTCTACAATGGATAATACAAACCCCTTATAAAGATTAAATAGAATGTATGTCTTCACATACATTCATGTAACACACATGGTCATGCACACACACACAAGTATAAACGATTCAATTATTAAACCAAAGTTACACTAGAGAACATAAACTTGTACTTACCAGGATACAATGTAAATTTGTTAAATTCACAACCTCACAGACAGTTTTTATTCTATCTATTAATCTTGCAAAATAGTTGACCATTTCTTCCCTTTTGATTATTTTTGCATATCGAGGAAAGGTGGGTGGAAGAAGCCTCTGATTAACAAGGGGCTCAAAACCCATCATAATTGGATGATCTAAAAAAGAGAAAAGATAAGATTTTTCAATCTCCTTCTGAATTTTAAACTGCAAATGCTATTAAATGTAAAGTTAAACGTCAATTTCAAAGGTATCTCAAAACAAAATTCTACGGACACTACCGTTTATAATTAATATATCTACACATATACTTTTCAAAAAGTGAGATAAACAGATGTAATAATTTGAAAACTGTACTCCCTACCTACACGGGTGTAGTTGCAGTCACAGGGGGATTGCTACCTCAAAATGAATTTCAAATAAAGAACGGGATAATACAGGGGAATCTCTCCAACAAGAGGCAAGGCTACATTAAGCCATGAGACTGTGAAGAAAGGTAAAATGGGAACATGTCGGCTTCTCTTCCCCTCAACTTATTGACAAAGCATTCACTTCAAATTTAGCTTCATGATAATCCAGAACAGCAGAGCAGAGCAGCCGCCAATGAGTCCTGAATGAATTGGGAGATGTTATTATAGAAAACTAACACATTTTAAAGAGAATATTTTAAGAAATCTAAGGGTGAGTTTCTTTTTCGCATTCTGTCTGCCAGTGATCTCACATCTCACACCAGTACAAAGCTTCAAACCAATCTGAAACCTACAATGAGGGATCTATAGCCCAGAAGTAAGAAGCAATTAGGAATTTTTGATTCAAAGTTCTCCTCTAAGCATAATGACTCGCAAATACCATGTTCTACTAGGGCTTTTTCCTTTTCTACAACTACCTCCAACTCCAGCAGAAACCCTATCTGTATTCCTACCTGGCAGGCTTGACATAGCTTGAATGCTTTCTCCTGGGCTCTCTCGTAGGACTGTGTATGCACACGCCTACCCTGTCTACGTGGGGTTACATCATTTCCCTCCAACCTCCAACTCTTTGAAAGCAGCAACTGGCCAATGAAAAGCTATTACCATGACAGTGAAACAGTTTGAATTTCTGATTTGTAATACTTCACTTAAAACTAACGTAAAACTAGTAGTGGAAATGTGCTAAGAAGCTTCTTTATCATACCTACATGAGTGATCTGGGGCTTTAATGAAAAATGCAAAGAATTCAGACAATTAAGTAATATATCATCCTTATTCTCCCTGAAAGCACACATCTAAAATTATCATCCAGGAATATTCTTTTATTCTTAATACACAAATGTTTAGGCCTTACAGCACAAGATGGTTAAGATGATTAAGCAGAAAATAGTCATTCACAAAACCTATGCTACCACCGAAAGAATTATTAGTGGGAAATGGACAATAAACAACTTTTGTACTCTTACCTTTTTTTGGGAGGGGGCCAGACTGGGGTTTAAACCCAAAGGCACTCTATATTGAGCTATACCCCAGCCTTTTGTATTTTAGAGTTTCACTGAGTCACTTAGATGGTACCTGTGATTCTCCTGTGAGCCTTCCAGATGGCCAAGATCACAGGAATGAGTCTCCAAACCCAGCTGCACCCCATTTTCAAACAAATCAACAACTACAACAGAAAACTATTAATTTCTGAAACTGATTCAACTGCCTTGCATATTCAGAGCGGGTGTTTAGCAGCATCCCTGACCTTTTCACACTAAATGAGCAGCAACCCCTCTGCTGTGAATCAAAGTTGTATCACTAAGACATTGACAAATGTCCCAGAAAGGTCCTAAGAGGGAAACAAACACTGGTCTAGACAAGTACAGTGAATAATTATAATTGTGTAAATATGCATAGAATAATTAGAGAAAAGACTTCCTAGAAGAACTGAAGACTAAGCAAAGACCTAAAGGATGAGAAGTTAGTAAAGGAAAAAAAATATTAGTAAGGGCAAAGTATTGCACAATCTCTAAGGCCTAGAGGACAGAAAATATGGCTCCTTTACTTTTTCCCTTAGGGAGCTATGATTTTCCAAGTCTTAACTTTCCCAAATTTTGAAAGTAAAAATAGATGCATATAAATAGATTTTGGATAGTTTCTCTGCATAAACTAAGGCGTTAACTGTATGCACCGCTCCATTTTCCACATACATTTAAGATTTCCCCCACATTTTTCTGAACTTTTTTCATCTTAATGGTTAAAGTGGTTCCTAAAAATTAAGGTATTTTTAAGTCTCAGCTATTGTTTTGCATCATGCAAAAGGACACAGTAAGGATTCCTACACAAGGAATCACAAGTTGCTTGAGTAGAAAAGAGGTAAAAACTAAGATATAATAAAAGAGCAAAGCAGTCATTCAGGTTATAGACTACAGTTGAAAAGAAGGACTAAAGTAGCCATGAGTTTGTCTGGTTCCAAGGCAAAAGAAATTGAAAAGTAAAAAGTTTATTATACCCAATCTCCTCCCACAAAAACCTGCTTTAAAATACTTTCTTACCATATTTCATACTGCTGCCACATCATCTCAGACCCTTATTTTAATTAACTACAATAGGCTCTGATATAGCCTTATGAAAAGTCCTTTATGAAATGAGCTCAGAAAGGAACACAATTCATATTACCTAGGGTGTGCTCAATAAATTTTTTGAACTGAATACAAATCAGACAAGGCAGCTTCTAGGTTCCTTCCCATGTTTTACAAGTTCATGAGTGTATAAAGGTTGCCTTCATTCTCCTACTGAAATTCTTATCTAAGCCACTATGGTGGCACGTGCCTGCATCCTCAGCTACAAAGGAGGCAGAGGTGAAAGGACAGACTCCCAGATCAGCCTGGAAAATATACTGAGATGCCCCTTAGAGACAAGAAGAAAAACCTCTTATCTGCAATGCTTAAATCCACTCAGTGCAGGAAAACCAAATGAGATTCTTTTCTCCTCACCTTAAGATTAAGTCTAATCATTATTTTCAGAACATTTTGAGACCAACTTAAAGTATTTCAGTTACTAAAATTCCAAGACATCACTGGTCTTTATTTCTATTAACAGGAAAGTATCATAAATAGCACAATGTCATTGGAAAACAGTTTTATAGAAACAGTGTGCTTCGGTTTTAAACATTAGTGATATGGAACTGTATTCATCAAGACAGACAGAGACACTATGTATATTTCATATGATGATGACTTTTAGAGCTCTCCCAAGTTACTGAGGCAAGTTACAGTTAGATTTATTAAAATAAGATGTGGAAACCTCGGTTGGAAAGAATTATGCAAAGTAACACAAATACTACTGTGGTTTGGTTATATATAGTTGCACTTCTTAAATGAGACACCTAAAAGAGTCCAATTTATAAAGACAGAAAATATAGACTATATTGTATTTGTTACCTATTTCCCACTGATACTTGTTCCTTTCCACTGTAACATAGGTTTTAATGAGTGGCTATTCTCCATTTAATCTGCTTTTGGTACAAGGCCTTTTATGAAGTTAAAACATTATAGTAAATACAGTAAGACAGATACAAAAGGAAAAATATTTACTACTCTACTTCTATGAGATACCTATAAGAGACAGGAAGTAGAATAGTAGTTAGCAGGCCCTATGGAGCAGTTATTTAAAGGATAAACAGTTCTGTACATAGATGTTTGGTGGATACATGCAACATAAACAGTTAAATCTTAGAAACATGCTTAGTACCACTAAGCTGTATGGTTAAAACAGTAAATTCTGTTAGGTATTGCATGGTTCATGAACTTAATTCTTTCCACTATGTACTTTGCTAGCAATTCAGTTGCAACTAGAGTTGTGGAACAAACTCGGGGACTAGCATCATGGAAAAAATTACATTTATGAACCAAGACATCAACATATTTTGCCACAATAAAAAAAAGTCACAAAAATATATTAAATAGCTGCTAAGTTCTAGGCATGGCCTCAATGAATTTTACTGTAATCACTGGCCAGAATAATCTATTGTTACTATGCAAACTAATATATTTTGAAGAATACAAGTACATGCAAATGATAAAAAGTGTCAAACAATGAAACACACACAATGAAAAGTGAATCTCATGTTCACTTGCTTGATCCCTTTCATCACTTAAGAACTAACCACTATTCTAAGTTTCTCCCAGGCGCAGGTGATTTTATATATATATAAATATATATGTGTGTTTCTGTATATGTAAATATATATATATATATAT